TTTACTTTAGATAGTAAAAATTCCCGCTGTCAAGCGCATTTTCTAGCACAGTTTTCCCAGCAGGAAATATACAGGTAACATTTTTTCAGTACGAAAAAAACGACACTAGACATGACAATTTCAACTTTTTTTGTAGTTTTAACAATTAATGCACACCAGAATAATGAAAATATATTAGGAGCATGTAATACCTGAACATACCGCTACATACGGCATGTTTTATTTCGCGGCTACTTCAAATATTCCGTGCAAAACTAAACTTTAATATTTACCTAAAGAACCTAAACATTCGTTATTAAAAACCTTTTTATTACTTGAAAAACAAATTCAGTATTAGAATGCGTTACTGCAATGTATCAAAGATTTTTTTCATCGTTCCCCGTTTTCGACTTGAAGGATATTTCTAATTAATGATGATATAGGTAAGATGTCGCGAACGAATGATCAAATTTTGTTTATTAACTCAGTGTCATCAAGGTTTATATTTCGTAGCCAGTTATCGTCACAAGTGTACAGTTACAAAACTCGTACTAATCATGTATATATTTTATCAAAGTGATATTAAAAAGCCAACGATAAGTGGTGTCTTGAATTACTTTCTGCTTACATGTACCAGAGTCTCTTTTCCTAACATAAAAAAAAAATCTTCCAAGCAGACTAACAAGTATAGTAGTAAAGAAACATTGACCAATTACAAAGTATAATGTCCATAATTGAACAGTCTAACACCAAACTATAGGGTGCTTGTAACTAGGAATGGTTCACTTTGTAAAGAAATAACACTGTTATGTCAAATGCAGGGAGATTTTGGTTGCACATCGTGGTTGAGGCTTCATTTGGCCAGTTGAATCGAGGCCTTGGTATTGTTTTCTTCTTTGAAGAAACTTACTAATAAATGACATTCTTTATGTCGAATTTGTCACAGAATATCCGGTTATTACCCGTCTTTGGAATAGAGCTTTAAAAACCAAGATTTGTAATAGCTATGGTGAGATTTTGAGTTTTTCTTTATCAACTTTCGAAATGTTCCTTGTAAGATATATATATATATTTATATCTTCGATAAACCCTAAGATAAGTTTGTCGCCTGCAGCATGTGTCTTCGAAAAGTCAAAATTAACTACCAAAAGGACCTAGCACAGATGATAATTTTGGCTGTAATTATCTATACGAACATTGAATATTTTCTGTCTATGTGTAAGAATTGTGCTTTCGAAGCAGTTGGACAAATTTGTTACTAAAGTCTGCATAAATAATCACTTGTTTAAAAAAAATCGAAGTTTGGGGAACTTGGTTTGGAGAGCGATATTTTGCAGCGTATTTGTAATAATAGTTTGTTTACTGCTGCACGACCTTAATTAATTATATGATGTTTAACAAACTACTTTACTTATGTTTACAAAACAAAGTTCAATATAAAGCTTAATGGGTAAAATCTGGTTAATTGCAATATGTATGTGTATTATTTTACTTTAAGTACTTTTAACACTGCTTTATTTAGTCTTTGTAAATCAATCAGTATAAAGCGCGTGACTTCCATTCTTCTTCCGCGGCAAAAAAGTCATAAAAACTCAAAAGTCTCAAATATTCATAGAGAAAATTCGGCTTAGATCAACAAAAGTTACACGATGTAAAATGCATAAGCAACTTAAGATAATGAACATCAAATGCAGCAATAGGAGAAAGAATAAAAATGAAAAAAAAAGTCTTAGAAAATAACACATAATGAGTCACTTTTGTTTGGTCTTTATAAAATAAAAGTAATAAATAAGGCTGAATAAAGTCAGATATTTGTTTTTTAGGAGAAGAGGGCTCTCTAATAATCAGTACTGAATATTTTTTTTCTTGTTTGAATAATTTCGCAAAAGGTAAAGCGAGAAATATATCTTCGTTTCTCATCATGTCTCAACTTCATTTTACGTTGGTGCTTTTCTTAAAACCCTATAGGCACACGTGCGTAGATTCAATCAAGCAATCTCTCCCCCCCCCCTTCCCTTTCCTGCAAATGAAGTAAAGTAGCGCCACATATTTTCCTCCACCGATGTTCTCCAAACCATCTTTGTTGCTATGGTAACAAAAGTAGATGATGCTTGTACCACGAAATGGATTACTTGCACATGTAGTCAAAGTTTGATCTAGTGGCTCAGTTGCTTATCAAACACTGATGCTAGGATTTTCAACTGATGTCATGCCACTGCCTTACGTAACCTTGAAGGTCATGTAATTAATATAATTTCTGGTAGATACGATATTCTATGTGTTGCTATTTTTTTTATTAAGTCAAATACTTTTTGTTGACATTTTTTATTTTTGTATCGAATACAAATTGGTCTCTTCCACCAAATTTGGGGTAACTTTGCACGAATTTTTTCGGGATGGGATGGGGGTGGAGGTGATATTTTAAACAAATACAACGAACAAGACTTTGTAATTGGAATTTCTACCTCGTGAATGACCTTCTTCTGGTCATGTTATGGTTACTATCTGGATAGTATGAAAATTTATTATCTTATTTGAGAGTTGAAAACAAGAAAAACGCCAAACCATTTTTAATGTAATAGAAGTTTTTGATATGCAGTTTTAAACAGTCTTAAGTCAAATGTGAAGAAAGATTTAATATCTATCATACAGTAAGAGAAATAAATCGCCAAAGTAAGGCAAAAACACACTTCTTTTATTTTATCTGCCACGTTTCCAATATTCATGCAGTGTCTATTGAAACGTTTCACTTGTTTGTCAACAACAAAATAAAGCAGGAAATGCGTCTGTTTTGACGTTCATATATAATCTATGTTAAGCTGTTTAGGCATGTTTTAAAAAGGAGCATTCACTCACAAAAAACAACAACGGCATAAAACATTGTATATTACACTGTGTCCTTAATCAAGAGGATAAACCTTAGGTTGTATAATAAGCACGTGTTTATAAACATGACTCTCAACAGCTGCATGATGAAGTTTTGTTTTAAGAGAAAGCCGAAAATCGGCCTCTTTCAAAAAGGTGAGCAGTAGCAGTTACACACGAAATATATGCTATCATTGTTTAATCTAGGGTTTGAAAGACAACAGCCAAAACCTGTTATAATAATGCACAGTTCGGGTAGCACTATATGGACTGTGTGTGTGAGAAAAAGTAATAATATATAACAGAAACATTGATTGTAAATGTGAAAAACGTCAAGTTATAAAAGTCCAGCTATATGAAGTGGAAATATCAAACATTTAAGCCAACTAGAAGAAACAATTAAGACAACCTTAGCCCACACCAAGCAAGTAGATACAACTATAAAAAATATGCGGGCCAAGGCTACCTCAATTGTTTTTTACTTGGGTATTTGAAATCTCCACTTTATATGGCTTGGCTCTTTATAACTTGGCGTGTTTTTCATATTGAAAATGTTTTTTCCCACAGATTTAATATCTGTCATCTATAGACAAAAAGTAGTTATTTCTAAGCCCATATGATGTTGAAATAAAAATAAGAAAAAATAACGTTTTTGCATCTAGTTTATGATCTGTCTCGCTGAGTACCTGTCCTTCTTTCAATTCTTATTTATTTGCTCACTAATGATCGGTGGTATAATTTGATTTAAGATTTTGGGAAACAAATACATTTAATATTAGACGCCAAATATATATATAAGAGAACTCACAGATGTTTCTTTTACTTTTACTCTGGGCTACTGAAAAGAATGAGCACACAATTTGTTCAGCTTATCCTCATGAGGAGCAATGCGATAGAATATAGCTGTCGAATGCGTTTTGATAAAACAAAAGTAAAAGAAGTAATTATCGGCAGGTCACCAGCCGAACCTTGTTGTTTTTGTTATTTGTAAGTATAGCTCCATGTCTTGTTCATAGCCACATGTTCTGGTTTCATGTACTTTGCTTCTCCTACAAGACTATGTGGTAATTGTTTGTGTCGATTTGTCACTGTCTTGAATATTGCCTGTAATTTTGTCGTTATTCTCTCGTCAATACAGCTTTACTGTTTTCATATATATTAATCCAGACTATTGCACTAGACTTCCAGTTTATAATTTAAACACACTGCTACTTCTCCACTAAGGAAAAATCGACGTCTTCATATCCGCAAGATATTTTTAGATTTTGCTTCTGTTTTTCTACAGAATTGGCTAATATGTTTGTTTCAATGTTAATATTTTTAAAAACAGTAAAGAAGTGATACATTATTATCAATAGATATTTTGATTATAGCAAAACCAAAAGGAACAAAGCATTAAAACTGTAGACTAGCATAAATAAACTATTCAGTTTGTTCGTTTGAAATTAAGCACAAAGCTACACAATGGGCTATCTGTGCTCTGCCCACCACGGGTATCGAAACCCGGTTTCTAGAAACTATTCAGCAGCCGCTCTATTATTTGCATTGACTTAGGGACTGTAAAGTAAAATATCTCAACTTTTTTTCTTTCCTTTTTCAGTTACTGACCTTATCTACAGCTAGTTCAGGAAGTTTAGACATTTGAGGAAAAAAAGATAAAGATGGGGAATTGGTATTTCAATTAATATATCTTCGTAATTTTTGTTTGAAAAAATCAAGGAATAATGCATAAAGTATAATTGTTGCTTATTATGTTTGTATGGAGTTGTACTTAATGATTATGTATATATATATATAATCATATTAATAAAAAATACTCTTAACCAACTTGAATTATTATACAGTGAGTTCTATCATTACATTTACATGTTTTTGGAAAATCTCTATTGAAATATCAATAATTTTTTATCATTAAAATAAAACGTTGAGATTGAAGGAAATTCGACAACTTTATAGGAAATGGTGTACATAAATAACTATAAGATGTTTTATATCATTGTTAGTGACCTCAGACACTATTCAAAAAGCTCTTGTTACTTGGCTAAAATCGGATAAATTTATTTCATGTTTTTAAGTGATAGAGAGTGTCATCTCTCTTCGTTAATACTCGTATAAGTGTATATGATATGAACATTTTTAAACAGCTGTTTTCTTACCCAGATTTTGACTTCCTCCACGTAGCCAGTCCAGAACTGTTGGTTTCACGTAGAATACTTCCCAGCCTACAGAGTGGACACTAATCCGACGCGTGGCCAGTAGTTTGTTTCCTTCTTCCTTATTGGCTGTTTCAGGAAGCATTACTTGATACAATCGCACCTAAGATACGAAAGACTAAAGTAAATGAAATATATAATGTTTTTCAAGTTGTTAGTAAAATAAACAATAAATAAAAACAACATCGTGTAATAACGTACAGTAATGGTTTATCCTTTTCACTCGTATTACTCCAAGTAATTTCTCATTCCTACTTACTTTTCGTTTAAGGATCGAAAAAAATATATAAACAAGTTGAAAGCATTCAACATTAAATGTAGATACTGCTAAGTTTGAAAATGTCATGCAGATTGTAAATGTTTTGTCAGCTTTGCAAATGTAATATCTGTATATGAAAGAAAAAAATACTAATCTTCAGGACGTTTGTAGTCAAGAGACTCACAACAAACATCAGAACACTATCTTACAAATCTGAGACAATATTTTTGACATAAACTCAGGTCTTTCCAAGATAATCATTGAGATAATTTTTATAACAAGAAAACAAAGTGAAAAGAATCCCGCGATAGAACTGCCCTAAGATTTTTTTATGTGTGTGTGGTTGGTTGTTGGGGAGGTGGGAGCACACGAGTAACGCCAACTCTCACTGGCGGTCTTAAAACTGTCATGTGACACATGTCTTCGGAAAAAGATCTTTAGGCCGATATACAGCAACAAGCATGAGGACACAGAGAAATTATTACTTTAGGTGTATCTATTTTATGACCTGTCTTTTCGAACAGCGTCGCCAGAGAGTTGTCTGTACGTACGTGCCATTTCATGTTGTAGTTTGTCAACCTACCAAGACGCATATCGGTAGACGACCTGGGCGATTAAATGAATTTAATTGTAGGTGGCGCAACATTACTCAGGAATTCTATGCCGAAATGAAAGTCAAAAGAAGAAAAAGAGAAATATTTTCATTAACTCGCCTAATTATTTTCAGGATCCCTTCGTCTTTTTTTGTTCTTAGAAATTAGAGAGTTGCGAAATAGCAGGGTAATGATGTTTTTTTTTTCTGTTAGATTTTAAAACAAGGACTGATTAATGACAACGTTATTACTATGTGAGTAAAGTTATTCGTCTAATTACTGCTAAAGAGCTGATAGGGCTGAAAAGTAATTGCCCTTGTATTCCACGTTACATATAATTTAGTAATTTAAACTTTTTCTGTAGTTGAAATATTTGGAATATTTAGACTCGACAGTTCAACTTATTTACAGTATAGCTTAATTTATATCAAGATTTTTCATCTTTCTGCCAAGGACGGGTCACAATTTTTTGAGTTGAGTTCGTTCCCAGGGTCTGAATACTGGTTATTGATTCGATTAACTACTGATCTATAAAAATCGATGTTGTTCTTACAGTTTAACTGGCTTTGTTTCTTGTCGTGTTTTTTTTTTTCAAAGTGTAATGCTTGTTTGGTTTAACAGCAAACCGGTGAAGATGGATTGCACATAATCCGAAACGTCCAGGAATAAAATGTTGCTTGTTTTTATCATCGCTTTCATCTTCTTGATTAATGACTGTTTCTTTAAGAGATACATCTAAGTACGTAGAGAACTATTTGTGTAAGGTTCCGAATAAATCAAGCCAAAAACAAAAACTCGTTGTTTGTTCCAAAGTTATTTTACAACGCTTTTGTTATAAAACTATTGACAAAGTGAGAGTGAAAGAGACAAAATGTTATCAAGACGCAACGAAATCTTCAGAAGACATGTGATATTACTTATATGACTTCAAAAAATCGAAGGTGTCAGATCACATGTGACCTTGTCTATCAAAATCATGTTAAATGTGCTTAATGGTTTTATTGAGTGATCTGTGGGTAATTTTTTGGTCCCTCTGTGGGCTTGACTTATTCATCATAACTTAATATTTTGGTTCCTCCGGATTATTAATCTTTTTGATTCTTTTACGTTAAATAATTTATCAGTTAAGTTGTTTGCACACATCTCTGCGAAGCGAGAAACGGGAAGAAAATTACAATTTATTTGTTTGTTGTTGTTGTTGAGCACATAGCTACACACAATGTTGTATAGAAATTTGGTTTTTAGCGTTATAAATCTCCAGGCTTACCACTGGAACGAGAAAATAACAGAGAGCAAAACATAGCTATTAACACGTTCGTCGTGTAGCTATATGACAAAATGTGGTAGAGTTCATATCAGATGATATGCATACTGGCAGATGATAAGGATGATAACGTTGCTGTGGCGTATCACAATAAAATATCTAGAACAGCAGCCAATCAGTGACTGATCGAGAGGTGTTCAGATATTGACAGTGTTGTTTCTAAGCGTAGTAGAACACTTGCTCTACCCACGGTCCTCTCTTTGAACTTTACGTTCTACTGATGACCGTAACAACTTTAAATGCAAGGGATAGCAAATAACCTGGTGTTACTATAACAATAATTTTCAGAATTATCCTCAGAACTTCTAACACTACTTAAAAACGTTTTAAATCAGTTTAAACAAGGCACTGAATTAAAGTCATGATTGTTTAGTACTGTTAATATTTTTTTATTATTTTTATTATGTTTTTATTTTTTTATTTATCTGGCGCCATTTCTAACGTTGTTATTAAAGATCCTGTATTAATATAAGTCAACCAAATATTTTGTTCTGTGCAACCTATTAATTCGCTCCCATGTTGATACTTTCGGTAATTCCTTAACCCTAAAATATCGACGGGGTTCAGATTTCCATCGGTTTCTTCAACTATATGTGCGCCAAATTGTTTGTGGATCTATAACTTTGTTGGTTATAGAGTCCCTAATAGTACACAAACCGAATAAAAAGTAAACACAAATATAATTAATATATTGAAAACAATCTCATTAAGTGCTGCTGAGGTCTTTATACTCTTCGTTTTTTGGTCTTCTTTAAACACTTTACGTTTTTTGGTCATCTTTAAACACTTTACGTTTTTTGGTCATCTTTATACACTTTACATTTTTTGGTCATCTTTATACACTTTACGTTTTTTTGGTTTTCTTTATACACTTCACATTTTTTGGTCTTCTTTATACACTTTACGTTTTTTTTGGTTTTCTTTATACACTTTATGTTTTTTCATTTTCTTTATACACTTTACGTTTTTCTTGGTCTTCTTTATACACTTCACATTTTTTGGTCTTCTTTATACACTTTACGTTTTTTGGTCATCTTTAAACACTTTACGTTTTTTGGTCTTCTTTAAACACTTTACGTTTTTTGGTCATCTTTAAACACTTTACGTTTTTTGGTCTTCTTTATACACTTCACATTTTTTGGTCTTCTTTATACACTTCACATTTTTTGGTCTTCTTTATACACTTTACGTTTTTTGGTCTTCTTTATACACTTTACGTTTTTTGGTCTTCTTTATATATATGGCCTTCTTAACATATGCTTAAAGTGTTACTAAGTTAATGCACATAACTATAAGTTTTATGAAAGCCTTTACCAGCGTAAATTTATTCTAGTATTATGTGTCTATATTTAAATAAGTTTCATATGTTTGAAAAGGGAAGTAGCAGAACAACTGCCCTTTAACCAATTGTCTTACTATTTGTTCTTTAAAATTTTGACCCATTTATCCTATATTTTGCAAATAATGAACAATTCATAATACATAATGAAAAATATTTTATGTATGATTATAAGACAGTAAGCTTAAATGAAAGTTCATATATACCCAAGTTTTTTAATAAGTTTGTCGACGAAAAGTTGAGGCAATGGGTTAGCAACATTTTATCAAGAGAAGAACAAAGAGAGTTGTGTGTCAAAAAATAAAACCCCAAAATGTAGCGATACTTTCACTAGTAAAATATATTGTGCATAAGCTGTTCATCAAAACAGAAAAACAACAAATTAGAAAAAAAAGGAAACTTATTTACTCATATTGTAGAACAAATACCATAACATGATCAGCTGAATACTGTGGCCTCCAGTTATTTCAGTTTTTATCAGCTTAGCTAGATCACTGACAGGGCATTTTATCCCAATTATCTTTATATGTCTTTAGGTATAGAGGAGACAACTTATTGTGAGTTGTACTTATAAACACATCTTCCTACTCTTTCCCTATCGCCCCCCCCCCCAGTGACACAGCGGTATGTCTGCGGACTTACAACGCTAGAATCCGGGTTTCGATACCCGTGGTGGGCAGAGCACATATAGCCCATTGTGTAGCTTTGTGCTTAATTACAAACAAACAAACTTCCTCTATCGTCGATCTAGCTGAGTTAACGCGAGGTGATATAGCAGGAAACATCAGCACAGTTATGACAGAAGTGTGTAGAAAACGTCTGTGAATATTGCTTGTCGCTGCACTGTGACAGTAACCATCACTATCAGAAGTTATTCCATAATAAGAAAATGTCTGTATTATATTTGTAAATATGTTCAGAGTAGTATTCGTGATCTTGAGTGACGAGAGCGATTACCACATAGCAACACAATAATATTATTCGTGATCTTGTATGACAAGAGCGATTACCACATAGCAACACAATAATATTATTCGTGATCTTGAGTGACGAGAGCGATTACCACATAGCAACACAATAATAAGCCATTTGATTACAACGGTGCAAGTACAATTTTTCTCTAGTTATTGTTACTTTCCTTGGTTTGAGACAGACAATAACTACGACACTTTGTAAGCAGTCGTTGATACACTAGATAGATAGGTATTCTATAAGTTGTTTTTCTCGCACATATTCTTAAACTATAATTTTTAATTAACCTTGCATATGAACTGGTTTTGTGTCCCAAGAGTCACACTTCGGGGAAATTTGAGAAATAACAAAACTAAAAACTTTAACTATTTGGACGTTAAAATAAAAATATTAAGCTCTAACTAAATACAAAAACTTCTCAATGCGTAAAACTTTTTGCATTCTCAAAACATAGTTCTGAAATATGTAGTTAAAGACAAATGAATATAAATTAATTAGATAATATAATTTGTAGTTAGAAGCCAAAGTTACCAACAACAATAAATGACGATTAAAACAAGCATATAACAGTAACTTTTGAGTATATACAGATATATCACTTTTTAAAACTAGCAACACAAAGTAAAAGAGAGCGGAGTCAAACCACATCAAACATGTAGAAACTAATTAGGATTAAAAACACAAAGTAAGAGCAAATAAAATCGAAAGTACGTCAAACACAAAACACTTAGGTAGGATTAGGAACACGTTGTACAAGTAAGTGAAACAAATGTACGTTAAACACAAAGAGCCTAGTTAAGATTAGGTACACAAAGGACAAGTGAGTGAAACAAATGTACGCTAAACGTAGAAACAGTAGATAGGAGCAGGAAAATATTATACGAGTGGAGTTTCAAAGTACACAAATACAAGAAAAGAAGTTGGGGCTAAAATCATAAGTATAGATGTTCAATAGAATATTAAATGCAAGTAAGTAAATTATAAAATTCTGTAAACATACAAAAACAGAGTTCTGAAAATTTAACTCGTGATACTACTAAAAGCAAGCATGAGTTATCTTAGTTTTAGATGCCAGAAAGTGTATCGTGAATTACCTTAGTTTTAGGTATTAGAAAATATATCATAAGTTACTTTAGTTTTAGGTGTCAAATAGTATATAGTGAGTTACACTGGACTCAGAAAGTACATACAACAAAATGAAATCAATTATTGCATATCTAAGCTTTAGTTTAATCTACAAGTATTAAATTTTATTACTGGTTAAGTTATAATCAAATGCCCTACCTCAAGCAAGTGAGATCGTGAATCTGAATGTCGATTTTCCATTCTAGGCTTCGGTTTTATTTTATACAAGTGCAATTCAGCTTCCAGTATCCGTTCTTTTTCGGGTACATTTGGCGTCATGTTGAAGTGAAAACGCATAGGATGTTCCAAATCTTTAAAAAAGAAAGCTTTATTAACTCAGAGTAAACTTGGATTGGTAGTGCCTGTAAAATCGGTGAATATATATATAAGTTGTTTAGGTTTTAAAATTTCATTGTGAATTTCAGTGATATGCATTGGCACAACTGATATTTTATATCTTATTAACATTTACCAATATACTTTAACTCATTTTTTTAACGCAATAACTTTGTTGATTAGGGTTTTTTATCATATATTTAAGTTTTTAAAACTGTTTTATTCTTGACATTTCTGCTTATTTATAAATACTGTGTGTTACAAGTATTTTAAGAATTTAATTAAATATGACAATTTAAATATTAATATTAATTTTTGCTTGTTCGTCGAAACAGGTTTAGAATTTTTACGACTTTCGCATTCAGTACATCTACACTGAAATCTTATGGTTTCCTTTATTATGCTGTGCATTCTCTTTTACGACTATAATAAACTAAAACATTATGGGTAAAAATAGTTGGATGTCGAAACGAAATTGTATCTATTTATGTGGCGAAGATGTAATTTTATAACTTTATAGCTATAACTTAGGCGAATAGTAAAAGACGAATAGAGATTGTAAGGTGCTGAAAAAGAGCTTTAGGCCTTACATGTCGAATATAAAATTTTTATTGACTAGTTTTATCATATATTTTAAATATGTCTAAAATGACAACAACGTCAAAAAATATAATTGCTCGTGCATTGAGTCTTCAATATTAGGTTGCAGTCCCCCGGTGCAGTCTTCGGATTCACAGCGCTAAAATCAGGGGTTCGATTCCCATTGGTTGACACAGCAGATAGCCCAATATGGCTTTGCTTTAGAAAAACACACACACACACACACACATTAGATTGCAGCAAGTAAGAGACCGCCAGAAGTTTTAGACCCAAGGTTCGGTCTGAAATGCTCATTGGAAAATAAACTAAACCCACTTAACAACCTCTCTGTAGACATTTTCCCCACGTAACGCCGAAGAAAATCTTTCAATTATCAAACTGTGTAGCAAGTCTTAGGCTCTGTAATACAGCTTATGGAACATTCTTTAAATCAAAAAATGAGAAAAGAAAAAAAAAACATTGTCCAAATTCTGCTTTGAGAACTCGGCTTCTAGAGTAAAACGAGACAATTGGTTCCCTGTAAACAAATACATTTCGTAACAAAAAACATAAAATTCCATTATCTCAAAAGCTTCGCTATAGTAAAAGCTCGCACAGTCTTAGCAATTTACTCTGTAGAAGTATACTTGTATGTATTTTCTGAAATGGATGCCAATTGTAAGGGCAGGATGGGAAGTTATAAGGATCTGATAGTACCAGTTTTAAGCTTTTGCAGTGAGTGCTGTAAACGTATAGTAGAACCTAGGTCACTTTAGAAAAACTCAAGAGCCACCCCTCCTCCAATTAATTTTTAAATGATGTTGGAGTTTTTTTACATATTAATGTTTCATTTATATTTTCTTCTTTATTTTCAGTCTAATGGGATAAAATATATCCACTTCCATTTTCACTTAACTTAAAACAAGCGACGTAGCACTGTTGACACTTTTCTGTATTAATTGTTTTGGGATTTGTTCTCGGTGTACCTTGAGATCGTGGACACGCTTATAACATAATAAAAACTAGAGAGACACCCTGAGATCATGAACACGCTTCATGAGCAAATAATCATACGATAAGTAAGAGGTGTGTGTTTCAGAATGTAGTTTTTCACACGGGATTTCATACACGTGAAATAAATACGTTATATTTCAAAACATATTCTGATGTTAAAAGTATTTCAAGAAGTTAATTGAATATGGCAGTCTACATATTGATATGAATTTTTTTGCCTGTTTATCGAATCAGACTTAGAACTTTTACGATATCTCCTCCTGATATCTTGTGGTTTCCGTTATTATGGCTTGCATTCTCTTTTACTGCTATAATAATCTAAGGCACCACAAGTGAAAATATTTGAATGTCGAAACGAAATTGTTTACATTTGAAATTTATGTGGAGAAGAGGTAACTGTATAACCTTCCCGCTAGAGCTCAGGCGAATAGTAAAAGGCAAGTAGCGATTGTAAGGTTTGTTTGTTTGTTTTTGAATTTCGCGCAAAGCTACACGAGGGCTATCTGCGCTAGCCGTCCCTAATTTAACAGTGTAAGACTAGAGAGAAGGCAGCTGTCATCACCACCCACCGCCAGCTCTTGGGCTACTCTTTTACCAACGAATAGTGGGATTGACCGTCACATTATAACGCCCCCACGGCTGAAAGGGCGAGCATGTTTGGTGTGACAGGGATTCGAACCCGCGACCCTCAGATTGCGAGTCGAGTGCCTTAACCACCTGGCCATGCCAGGGCCCGATTGTAAGGTGATTTGCGCAAATATTCAACACATAAATATTCGGGTTTTTCTCTGTTTATTTTTGAAATGATAATATTGAAGAATGCGGCTTCTTTAATGTAGTCAGACAGAGACCTAAAGATAAAGTTTTCAACACATTATGGAAATGTAACAATATAAACTTCTATAAATAATACATTTGTAGTGAAAATCATATTTTATGTTGTTGGAGATCTAGCAACATCTTTTTTCTGTTTCCAGGGAATTAGAACTAAAAGTGATAATATTACTACTAGGTGTAAATTGCTTGACAATCAAAAGTGTCGTGGAAACTTAGAGATCGTTTGATTTGATAAGTTCAACGCGGAAGTACTGTAAAGACTCGCAAAACGGACGGCGGACAAATTTACGGGCAAAATTAACCATTAATTTAAGCTAAAATTTATGTTTAAAGTTATTCCGAGGAAAAGACTGTGTGTGGTAATGTCTCGTTTGAGTTATAATGGCCTTTACGATAACGACTACCCATTAATGTTGGCCATAAACTTTAGGTAGCTTACTTCCGAATAGAGAAACAAATTAAAGGTGTCGTTAGTACCTTTTTTATCTTTTAAAGAACTGAACGTTTTCTCCTCCTGTGATTAAAGTGCTGTAATGAATCCTGTTGCAAATAGAATTAACATTAACGTGTACTTCTTATTAACTTTTTCAATCTACCGTTTCGTTTTCTTTGAATGGTGGAAATTTTGCGAACATCAAAACGTCATTCGTTGATGCTATTAAGTCCTGTAAAAATGCTCTTACTTCTCTGAGTATAAAGAGTGAATGAACTTCTCATTTCACTCCTCTTGCAAAATTTGTAAGTAAGAGAGACAACATATTTCCATTGCCATGGTGGGGGGGGGGGCGTACTTCTCTTACTGTCTATCATTCTCACTCTATAATGTGTACATTATTCATCTATCTTCAGTGCGCGACGATATTTTTTTTTTAGCTAGTTTATTGAAATGATGTTTATATAGAGTTGTTGAAAAATTATAATTTATAAAATAGGCCTACAGAAGGAAAAGCCCCGCTCGCTAGTATGGTTCACATTAAATACCCTTAGGCACAGAGTTACTTTAGCCTAATCGGTTCAGCTTTAGGTTACTGTAACAGCGAGGCGAGATCATGTACAGTCTGTACATCTTTCATTTTACAATTATCTAAGTAAAATGCACACACACACACAAACAGGTATATTATATATGGTTTAATGTTTAAATATTCTAATCTGCCTCGATAATATAAATATATTATCATGTTAAAGTAAAACTACAATAAAAGATCCACCTTGTATCATGTCATAACTTTAATATAGTTAAGTTAAACCATCGCAATAGGTCAAAAACTTCTTGATGATTTTGATTATTGCCAAAAATCTCAATCATAAGAAAATATATTTTATGTTTTTCTTGTCACGCATAATATCTCCTCTCTAAGAGCTCAAAAGTGAGCCGTGTTCACCTGAATGTATCTTCTCCCGCATAGGGTCAAATAGTTATTACTGAGGATTGAATACTTTACATTAAAAAGATTTTGAATACGTAAAAGAGCAAGTCAAGCAACAAGCAAAGCCGGGCTAAAGCCGCGGTGTGGCGTACTATATCAGAACTAATTTTTGATATTGTTTGGCATTTACGTTTCGTAAGTAGTATTGTGCCACCGAAAATTGATCGCTTTTGGAAAGAATAAGTAAAAGGCTTTGTGAAGCAAAATATTTATACACTCAGATCATAAAGATGTTTCAAAGCAGGGATTTAGTATGGTAAGATGGGAATATCTCTTATATTTAATTTTATTGGAGACCAAATGAATATGGATCAATTTGGGACACCAGGACCCCACAGAAAGAGACATGCAGCAAGTCATACCTCATCTTGTGAGCAAATTGCGGAGTTTTGTAACAGGTGAGAATCTACAAACACAAAGGCCATTAGCAATAGTTGTCCACGTGCTTCACGCAATATTTACAAATATAATCAAAAAGGATTTCGGTCTGGAAAAGCGACACAACTCATATATATAAAAGCTGCTCTACAAAATATATGTTCAACCATCGTATACATCATGCAGCTGGAGAACGACACTGGTATTCATGCTATTCCACAAAAAGACGTACCAGTCACCTCGCTTATGGATATCGGATAGTTGAAACGGGTACTGGGAAACTATCGTCATCGCGCACTAGCTGGATTATGGAAAGTGCACAAGGAACAGAGGTGCTTTTGACATGACAGCTAACGACAAGGCTTTTTTCAATGAAAACTATGATGAAGGATATTGTCAAGATGTATGAATATTAGATAGAGTATGACTGGACGTGGTGACATGGACTGTAACGACGTGGTGAAGCTCTGCATGTCCACGTACGTAAGAGTTTAATAATTTTGTGTGTCCCGTCATAGCACACAAAGAATCTTCTATCTTTAGATTTGAAAAACGTTTACTATATGTACAAGAACACAAAAAATGTATAGGATATGACTTATACGGTCAATTGACTGAAAATGAAACGACCTAAAGGTTTAAATGACACGACACCAGTTGTTCAGTTAGCTATGTTTTTATTACCAAGCTGAACCTACATAAGAAAGTTGAAAAGCGCCTTCATCTACGAAAACAGG